ACTCACACCTTGGATTGTATCTCTCTACCCTAGTTTTCCAGTCGACATGTTGGCGATTACCTCCACCTGATGAGGAGAGGTATGTAGCCCTCGGGAACCAGCCGCCGCAGTTCGAGAGCCTCCAGTGTCAGATTTCCTCTATCCCCTTCACAGAAAACCACACACACCATAACTTGCCTACTCACTCAACTTGTACGAGTAGAAAGGCAAGGCAATGCAAAACAAGTCACCTTACAAAAAAACTACAACCAGGACGCTCTTTCTTTTTCAGAAAAAGCTGCCCCCCGTGGATTCGCACCCACTGCACTCTGCATCTAGGCGCGTGTCTACAAAGGAGCTCACCAGGGGCAACTCAGCTGGTAGGGGTTTAATCTTTACTTGCGACATACTTACTGTCTACCATGATTGATCCATTCGTGCTAGAATGTATTGGAATTACCCGCTGAGAGAAATGCAATTTTCCAGTTATTATAGAATTACCTAAATTATTACGTTATTGTGACAGCACCACTAGATAGCAATTTGAGGACTAACTTTCTGTGGCGCACTTTATTCATATCCTTCATAGGGGGTGGTTCCTAGTCTTTCATTTGGGGTGAATCTTGCAGGTAAAATCGACCAGCCTTTTCATGTTATCTAAATCTCTGAAGCCTCAGGTTTGAGAAAATTCCCCCACTTGTATTCTGTCTAACTGTAGCTAACTATATCTTATGTGTATTTCAGTAGCACAAAATCCTACTCAGTTTTGTGGTCAAATATTGGGACCAGTTTTTCTCTCCTAACCTAATGCACTATTCACTCTGTACTTCTGGCCACATGGCTGTTTCGGCAGCCGCCACTACCACTGCCTAGTATCAACCCCCTAAACCCCAGTCTGTTTACTAACACATCAGCGATCACCCTAACTTTACTCCCAGTTATCCAGACCAGGGTACTACTAGGTATATCTATACTACACAAGAATAGGAACCTCTCTAATATCCAGACACCATGGGACGGAATAAAGTGTCAAGGAGATTTTCATGGGTTAAAAATTGCTTGCAAAGACAAGGTTCCTTATCAGAGAGGTGGCTGTATGGTTAGACCAGTTTGCAGAGTGTTTCACCCTCAACAAAGGCGCTGGTAAATATTCATAGTGTCAAGGTTGAGGGTAATTAAAGATGAGTTTGTATTGCCCACCATACCTGCACATGCAGCTGGCTTTGTCCAGTACAAAAATGTCACATATCCCAAATATCTCCCTAGCCATTACAATACATTTCAGCATGCCACGTGTCAATAGCCAACAAGTGCAAATAAACAAAGGATCAGTCCAGAGACATAATATATACAGTGGGACCTTTTATAATGTACACTCTGAATAAAAACACATTAAGACTATTATTTTTGAGTAATACATATCCTCCGAACAAAAGACACCTCTCGGACAATAATACATGTTCCCAGCATGTCCTTTATTCGGCGGTTTCATTGTACACATGAATGATGTAACACACAGAGCTACGCATGTATCGTACACATGATCTATTTGGTGGTAAAACAGTAGTGGTGTAGCTGTACATCAGGCAATGTATATATAGCCGTTGGTAACACCTGTCTGCGATAGCCAAGCTGTTGTTAATGGATCGAAACATCCATGTAGCCAACAGGAATGGGCGTGTATGTGTACGTACATACTAATGCACCCGCAGCGGCTTACACTATTACATTCACATGCCCACTAATCAAACAATGGCACGGGTGCGAAGAGCCAAAAACCAGACCTATTGTGATCTGACACAGCAATGTCACTGTTGTGTGCACAATGTCGCAATAGGACAAGCAGCAAGCATCACCACACCACAGATAAAAACTCTGGACACTTCTGAATAGGACACTTGGTTCTGTATTTTATACGAATAAATGACACTTTCAATGTTCCCCTTATTCAGAGGTTTCACCGCACTTAGCCAGCAATGAAACTGGGTTTTTTTAATGCGTGAATATTGTCAAGTTCAACTGCTACCCACGGTGTGTACATCTGCGTTTCAAGTACATACATGGAATCAACCTTCAATTGCGGATTGGCAGGCAATGTATACAGGGAAAAGGTCTAAAATAACGTGTATGTACCCTGATCAACACACGCTGGCACGGCCCTGGGCATATGGTTCGCCTTTGGCTTTTGATACACACGCAGACGCATTGAACTGGACAACAGCCACTTATGGGGAGAATTGAAGTTGGAGGGATATACAATATTAGAGGAATTGGAGATGTTCCACGGTGACCAACTAGTAGTAATAACTGGCAATAATAACCAAAGATGAGGAGGGAGGGTGCAAAAGTGAGGAGTTGTGATCCCATTGCACTAATAGCTAAATGCAACACGACCCCTACCTTATCGTCCAGACATTTGATTGCCATTTCAACCAATTGATCTGGGGAGCCTGGATTGCTTGCATGGCTTCCTCCCTTCTCCGCTGTCACTCCATTCGCGAGGGGGAGGTCGGGCTTTCCTTCTGCAGAGTCGGGGTGCGCCGCGGAGCCGTTGGCGAGTCTAGCCGCCTTGCTGATGAGGTCCGAATCCAGCCCAACGTTCAGTAGGTGATGCTGCACGAGGCGACCAACTTCTCGGCGGTTGGCGTCTCCGTCTCCCGCATCTGGCTCGCCCATCAGGACTCTGACGCCGCGCCCTCTCCGCCCCTCTTTGTCCTCATGCTCGGGCTGTTGCAACCCCGCCACTAGCCGAATCTCCTTCGCACCGCTCGTCAGGCGCCCCACGTCTCGTGCCGTTTCTGACGCGATTCCGTCATCGCCGTAACCGAGTACGGCCTCGCCCATTCCACCCGCACTGACGAGAGCCATGGCTCCCCTTCCTTCGATGCTACGCGAAAACTGGAGGCCGGTACAACGTGCTTGGTCCCACCCTCTTTCTCTCTAAATATGCGAAATAATTTTGAACACGCTACGCGTCGAAGATTGCGTGCGCCTGTCTGACGTCCGTCCCGTTTCTGGTTGACTTACAGGCAGGTTGTGGGCTAGTAGGAGGCAGTCATGAGGGGAGAGGTGAGCGTGGTACAAGGCGAGGTTTCCCAGCTCCTCTCGGCCATGAGAAAGACTGGGAGATGGAGTGGACACGCCAGAACAGTAAGCCCTACACCGTACACAGTGCTAAACACGTGTACCAAAAGGGTTAATTTGGCTTCTGTGGAGCCCTATCTAACGTACTGGCATGGTATGATGATCCTGGTGCGGTGTTGTTCCGATCCAGGAAGGGGAACAAGATCCATTAGTACGAGGTCTACACAAACTCCAGACGGTACTGAACGGGACCCCTGACCTTCGAACCCTGGACGTGATGGTGTTCCTCCACCCGTTCTGTGAGATTATCCAATCAGACGACACCACGGGTCCCGTCACTGGGATGGCTATCTCATCGCTTGACAGATTTCTAGCATACGGCCTCATAAGTAAGTCAACTCCTGGACACCTCTTCATAAACTGGTGATAATACTTGAGTGCATTATTAATCTTGGCCCCTTATAACTATAGTGGAACTTTTAACTGTAATACCAGTAGAAACCTTCAGACAAGAACTCTCTAGATTATTACATTGTCTTACTGCCTGATTACATTCTCTCCACTCTTATTTACACTTAGTTCAGCCCTTAACCTCTTTGACTCTGCGAATAAAGGACACCTCTCTATATAGAACACTTGTTTCAATCCAGAGCTAGTACTGCTGTAGTGTATTTTTAACCTCGCAATAAAGAACACTTGTTTCGATCCAGAGCTAGTACTGCTGTAGTGTATTAACCTCGCAATAAAGAACACTTGTTTCGATCCGAGCTAGTACTGCTGTAGTGTATTAACCTCGCAATAAAGACACTTGTTTCGATCCAGAGCTAGTACTGCTGTAGTGTATTAACCTCGCAATAAAGAACACTGTTTCGATCCAAGCTAGTACTGCTGTAGTGTATTAACCTCGCAATAAAGAACACTTGTTTCGATCCAGAGCTAGTACTGCTGTAGTGTATTAACCTCGCAATAAAGAACACTTGTTTCGATCCAGAGCTAGTACTGCTGTAGTGTATTTTTAACCTCGCAATAAAGAACACTTGTTTCAATCCCGAGCTAGTACTGCTGTAGTGTATTTTTAACCTCTCAATAAAGAACACTTGTTTCGATCCAGAGCTAGTACTGCTGTAGTGTATTTTTAACCTCGCAATAAAGAACACTTGTTTCGATCCAGAGCTAGTACTGCTGTAGTGTATTAACCTCGCAATAAAGAACACTTGTTTCGATCCAGAGCTAGTACTGCTGTAGTGTATTAACCTCGCAATAAAGAACACTTGTTTCGATCCAGAGCTAGTACTGCTGTAGTGTATTAACCTCGCAATAAAGAACACTTGTTTCGATCCAGAGCTAGTACTGCTGTAGTGTATTTTTTATAAAGAAACCGCTGTATAAAGGACTACTCTTATGGCCCCAGCATGTCCTTTATACAGAGTTCCAAATGTAGATGGAAACGCTCACTAAATTTAGTCCATCTATACCACAAAATTTCCTCTAAGAAGGTTCTACTCCATAGTTCCCTGTGTGTCGTGCAGGTCCAGGTCACCCCTCGGCAGCCGGTGGAGTGGCAGCTCTCTCAGAGTCCGTCACTCACGCCAGATTCGTCGGAACCAATCCAGCCAGCGATGAGGTCGTCCTCATGAAGATACTACAGGTCGGTAAATTTTCAGCTTATTTACGAAACGAACGAGGAGGGAGGAGAGTAAACTGCATTTGGGGGAGTATATACTGGAGTGTCAAACGTGAAAATGGGAGACCCCATTAGGTTGGAGCCATCTTTTTTCGTCGTCTTTTGGCCATGAACGCTCTTTCACATTGGCATTTGACAAACACAAACGTGAGGATATGTATGCCCTCTAGAAAGACTTCATGTGTCATGGAATACCCAGTTTATCAATGATGTTTTAATACAAAATGTGTCCAGTTAGCTAGTTGTCCTCGTGAAGTGTTGGAAATTATCCTTCTCTCATAATAAAAGAAATTTATTAAATAAAGGTGCATAGAAATATTTTTTTGGTCCCAGGTGTTGCACACACTGATGCTGACTCCAGTGGGGAGACTCCTGAGCAATGAGAGTGTCTGTGAAATAATGCAGTCCTGCTTCAGAATTTGCTTCGAAACGAGGCTCAGCGGTTAGCCATAGATCACCATGCAATAACAAACACCTTTTCAGCAGAATTTCGTGAATGCTAGTCTGGCATGCCATTCACCAAATCTTCATTCGCAAGACTTTTGAGAAAGAGTCATATATTGCAAAAATATTTAGATTACGGTTTGCTAACCCCTATTATTACGTATTATTCTCCATAATGTTGTGTTTCAGAGCTGTTAAGAAACTATGCCGAGTCAACTCTAGTGGACATGGTCCAACTCCTGTTTATTCAGTTGCCGTCCTTCAACGAGGATGAGTATACCGTTGATGACACTGCTTCTATCATTGATCAGGTGGGTGATCTGTTACGTGGCTATAGCTATAACATGAAAAATGAAAATAAATGAGTATAATTGTATGCGCCATGGTACTATAATTAAACCAAAGCACGTAGAATGATGGAATTCAGGTTAGACTTGGTTGACTTGTACCCACTAGACCATCACAGCAGGAGGAGAGGAGGAGAGGGGGTCAGTTGAACCATGTGTGGAGGATGATGTGGAGGAGGAGGGAGGGGGAGGAGAGGGGGAGGAAGAGGGAGAGGGAAGGGAAACAACTGATAGCAATGGAGGAGACGAACACGATGAGTTGAAACAGCAAGAGGAAGGACTGGAAGAGGGGGAGGCGGGTCTGAAGCGAACTGCACACGAGGCGGAGTTTGTGTCCAGTGATGTCATAACTGCAACAAGTCGACATCGGCAAGGAACGCTGGCACCGTATGGACTGCCGTGTGTCCGCGAGCTACTGAGGTTTCTGGTTTCCATCATCAACGTGAAAGAAAGGTGTGGTCTTCTAGCTCTCGGCCAAAGAGCCCACTCGTTTTTTTTGGAGCATCCTTTAAAAACGCCTTAGTAATGACCCTCTTTAGTATTGCGATTCATAGAGGATTCGAACATGAACCCAATAATGAGTAAATGCCAACACAGTAGCTTAGAGCATCATTCAGTGATGAATGAGTGCCTGTATATCTTTTGGTACACTTACCGAAGGTATAAATAATGAGGTGGTGCTATAAAAAGGGGATGCTTGTGAAATTGTCCATCCACCAAAGGAACAACTCTGAGTCACTGCTGCACATCGGACTGAATCTGGTGACGGTAGTCCTGGAGTCGGGCAGAGAGAACCTCTGCCGGTTCCCTTCTCTGGCACAACTGGTCCAGGACAACCTCAGTAGAAGTCTCTTCACTGTGAGCCAAATGTTGCAAGTAACATACTCATAATTTCACTCTGTATAGATGCAGAAGGGTCATGAGCACAATAGTGCAAGCTTTCTCACATAAGTTTGCTCTGGGTTTAATATAACATGTGCACAACCCCCTCTCATATGATATATAGGGGCACAAGTATTCTCAAAGGCCCTTCATGATGTAGTACATACGTTGATACACATGCACCTTGGCATTAAAGTCATATTATAGAATTGGATGAACATCCATACTTGGTTGATGTTGCAAACACCATGTATAAAGTATACTGGCAACTAGAAGATGGTGTAGACATCTACCAATATGGAAGCTTCCTATAACTTGAGCCAACGTGTTCTGTGCCTAACAATAGGCTCTGATGCGGAGCCATGACAGCATTTGGCGTGTGTATACAGCTCCATGTTTCTACTCCGATACCCACTGTGTAGCTTCTTCGTCACTCCAATTTCTCTGTGTTCTCGGCGACGCTGCGAGCCGTCTGTCTCCTGCTCCAACACTGCAGAGTCCACCTGCGGTTCCAGGTGGAGTGGGGTCTCGCCACACTCATGGAGCTCTTCACTGCCGAGAACACCGCCAGACTCTCCCACGAGAAGAAAGACGCTGTGCTGGAAACAATTCTGAGGGTGAATTATGTAGGCAGACTTTAAAATGGCTTGATTGTTAGCTTTGTATAGCGTTCATGCTTCAGAAACTTGTAGATCAGACACACATCCCATAACGTTGCTGTCCCAAAATTTTTTGCTGTAGCATGGCTAGGTATCTTTGGCTATGCGTGCTTCAGACGGTAGTAGTTCAGTGATTGTTGTAGCATAAAAGCACATTCCCACTTAGTTAAGTATACACCTGAATCAATCATGCTCATAGCACCGTTGCAAAACTTGTACACTTCACGTCATCTGCAGCTGTGTCACTACCCATATCTCATGGCCGAGCTCTATGTCAACTATGACTGCAATCTCTACTGCTCCAATGTCTTTGAAAATCTCACAAAGCTCCTTTCAAAGGTAGTTTAAATTAGCATTTGGACATGCTGATTATGCTGGCCTTTGCTTCCATGAATGTATAGTGTATCGATATGCCAGTGTGTTTTAGCTACCATTCAGTATTGCTTGTGGCTTGAGCTAATGAATTCTGAAAGGTTGCGGCTGTGTGTTGGTAACGATGAGTAATAATGATGCTCTCTACTTCCTGTCATTCAGAGCTCTCTGCCAACACAAGGGCTGTCTTCAAACCATCTCCTCTCACTCGACGCTCTCCTAGCCATCGTCAAAAGTTTTCAATCCTGCCAACAACAAGCCCTCCCAGACAACGCCCTTGCAGTCAACTCCCAACTCTCGGAAACAGAGGGAGAGAATGCTCCAAGTGGAGCCTTGGCCACATCTCAGGAAGGCTCGACCCAGATTAACTCTGCGGGGATCATTTTCAGTTCTAGACCGGAGAGAGAGACGGAGCTTGTCGAGGAGACGTCTATTACTAGTGTTCGCTCCGATTCTGCACTTGCCGACCATGTCACCGAGACTGCAGTTGAAATAGCTGGCCAGAGTTGCCCTGCCTCTGGTATGGATACTGTGAAGGCTGCCTCAGGGTATATGATGGCAATAAGAGGTACCCGTGAAGGGGATTTCCCCCCTGAGACGACAGTGGTGGAACTGCCAACACCGAAAGAGTTGATAGAGATACGACAGAGGAAAAAGGTGGGGAAATTTAGGCATACCGTGTTGGCTCTGAGAGTGTTGTTGGGATGCTGTTGTGTTTGTTGTTACTCAGTCTTCTGTGGTTATTCTGCAAGGATTCTTGTCTAGCTTCACCTGCGTTCCACCTCACGTCTGACTCTCTTTAGCTAATTACGTATTAATACATTGTCAGTGATTCACTGGCCTCCTACAATCAGCTGACAAGATAGAACAATATAGTATGAATCGTAGGGTGTCAATGCAAGGTAGGTTCTATTGTGCAATACAACACAAGGAAGAGGCAAACCCCCAAATACTCTGTACTATATGTGGCACAGATCACTAATAGAGCACATCAGAAACGCACATTACTAATTTGACTGCATTAGCTCGTAATTTGACGTCACGTAAAAAAACTAATGGTCCACGCTTTTTACTGCTTACAGAACTTCCCTCGTGAATAGGCTATTCATGAATATCAAAACCTCCTTTAACATAACTGCACTTTAGAGTTGCCGCTCCATCCTCAGGTAATACTGGCAGCCACAGAGCAGTTCAACTTGAAGCCCAAGCAGGGGATCACCTTTCTCCAAGAGAGAAGAGTCATATCTGGCTCAGACTCCCCGCAATATCCGGCGGAGGTGGCTAGTTTCCTGGTAGACAATCCGTGGCTGGATAAGGCCAAGATCGGGGAGTACATTGGAGATCGCAAGAACCCCCCCATTTTGGATGCTTTCGTCAAGTGAGCTTCAAGTTGTTTACTGCTGACTGAGTTCTTGGGCCTGTAATCAGTTGTGATGCAATAGAACACCTAAAAGTATATACTCAGCTTGGTTTACTACGAATGTTTTATGCCTAATTACCTCATGTTAGGTAATGAGTGTAAGTTTCAAGTCTCCGTTACATGTATGTCCTTTTGTGGACAGTGTTGTGGCTACGTGATTATAAGTACATGAGATCCCATTCAACATGAGTATCATTACTGCTGCTAAGTCAGGTTATATCTTTAAGTATGTAGATGAGACCCATTCAATCATTACTGCTACAGGCATTTCTCTCTGCACGGGACTCATCTGGTGGACGCACTGAGACATTTCCTGGAGTCGTTTCGCTTGCCCGGGGAGTCCCCTGTCATTGCCAGAATATTGGAGACCTTCAGTGAACACTGGCTGGTAATTCTGGTGATGGTGTGCTGTGCAGTAATGTAATTTTGTTCTACATCCAAGTCAGAAAGGCCACTAAGCTAGGATGTGAATGTGCACATGTGTGATAAATGTATGCTGAAACAGGTCCAAGCTATAATTCGCTGAGTTGACGCGATGACCACATGTATCCCCACATTTGCTATGTTTTCCGATTGTGTTTTTGTGAACAGACAGTTTAAGGGCGACCTGGTGAGCTGGCCATGAATACACTCAGAATCTTTGACCGCCCTTTTGAAAAAGCATGATTAATGTTGACATGTGTTATTCGTTGCAGTCCTGCAACAAGGAAGAGTTGGGAAAAGTATTTGCCAACAGAGATGCCGTCTATGTCCTCTGCTACGCAATCCTCATGCTGAACACCGACCAGTACAGCACTCAGGTCAAGAAACGGATGTCCCTGGAGGTAATAATGCGCCTGAATCTCTGTTCTGACAACTCAAGTCCAAACTCAAGTCCCATGTGGGGATTATGTGTATATAATGACACATTCCACATTCCAAGAGTATGCTCTGGTCTTCAAGTAGCGCACTGTGCATATCATAATATTGTGTGTGGTTTTTGTATACCTGTTCATCAGGAGTTCATTCACAACCAACGCAAGATCAATAACGGGGAGGACTTTCCACGGCAGTTTTTGACTGACATTTTCAACAGAATCAGGTTAGCTAACTGTCCACTCTCTATACTATGATCCCTGTAAGAAACCAACTCTATTAGGGAAGATGAGATTATAATGCCAGATGAACATAAGGGTCAGGTGAAAGAAAACTACCAGTGGAAGGTATATATGCTGTAGATTATCTAGGATTTGGTGTATAGTAAATTTGGGTTGTGTTAGAAGATTAGAAGATTAAATTGTTTTGTGTGTGAAAGGTTTGCTGTGAATAAGCCGCTTTTGTCTCTGGACACTATATTATCTTGGTACATGTAGAAACATATCACCATCTGTGTATTTATACTAAGTATTGCTGCACCATTTATATTAGGTGTTGCTGCATCGAAGCAATGGGCCTGAAGCTACCTACCTTCCAGTCATTGTGACCTCATACAACCAAGATCTCTACCTGTTGTGTTGGAGCCAGAGTGTGGCAGCTCTGTCGTACGTGTTTGAGAATGCCGAAGAAAAGGCCATTGTACTGAAAGCTATCAATGGATTCAGGTCTCTTGTTTGAAAAGAGTAGTATATCAGTTGTAGTAGCAGTCTGGGTGGGGTTGTGGGGACTTCCTGGACAGATGAACCACTGTTTTGGTTAAAGCCCAGATGATCCAAATACACATGTCAGGAGTCTGTGTGGGGTTGTGGGGAGATAAACCACTGTTTGGTTTAAAGCCCAGATGATCCAAATACACATGTCAGGAGTCTGTGTGGGGTTGTGGGGGGTTCCTGGACAGATGAACCACTGTTTGGTTTAAAGCCAGATGAATACACATGTCAGGAGGGAAAGGTTATTCATATGGGAAGCTGTTGCTAGTCCTGGGCTGCACTTGCTGGTGTAGCCTATGTCACTGGTGTAGCCTTTATAATATGTCACTAATACTTCTGTTCTGCAGTATGTGTGCCTCTGTGGCTGCCCATTATGAGCTAAACCAAGTCTTTGACAAACTGATTATCTCGCTCTGCAAATTTACCACTCTCCTGAATCCACCAGAGGTAGGTGGCACATAGACACACAAAAAACTATGTACAGCCACTAACTATGCTCTGAGAAAGAGGCTTCATGCGATGGAGCAAGCCCACCATGAGCTGGAATGGCAGAAAAAGAATGTGAGTAATTACAGTGTATGTGCTAATCTGAGAGGTCTTCATGTGCCCACGAGAAGTATACTCATAATTATTGTGTAGTCGTCATACAACCACGTGGCCCCTTATAAAGTATTCATTACCGTCGACATTCCAAAGCTACGAAGATTCCACTCAATACATTGTGCGTTTTTTACAGACAGGTGGGTGGTATATACGTACACATGATAAATCAGTATATTATAGTAGCTAAAGATTCCACTGTATTTAAAACAAATCTGACAATCAGTAGTAAGATTCCACCTTATCCTGTTTTTTCACACAGACACCAAATGCAGTAGTGGTGACTCTTGGCACCAGCTCAAAAACGAGGCAGTGTCTCCTAACAATGTTTTCACTGGCCCATCAACACGGCAATATTCTGAGAGAGGGCTGGAAGAATATTCTGGATGCTCTTGTAGCACTCTTCAAGGCAAAGCTGTTACCTGATGAGCTAGTGCAGGTGAGGTGTAGCTACAAGCTCTAGGGGTAGCCAAACCACGTTACAGCAATGAAAATCCCATGTGTATTATCACATAAACTACATTTGGAGCTCATAACTAGGAGCTCATATTCACTGGTGACATGATCCTGAATGCTTACTGTAGCACATTGGGTGGGCGGCTGGAATTTTGCAAAGGCAATTCATTGTCTAAGACATGTTCATGGGTGCCCACCTCCACAGACCTGTTCACATTATAATGCAAATTTGGGCATAGGTGAGAGACTTTGTCCATCCCACTGGGAGTGTGTCTCTATTCCGTGAGGAGGCTCCCTCCACTCGCCCCGACTCCTCACTCCTCTCCTCCCTCTCATTCTGGTACTCAATGACAGCCCTAGTGGAGCCAGCAACCCTCAACTCCGTCCGAGATCAAGGCACGCAAAACTGCCAGCAAGTGTGTTAAGTAAGGTGAAGGGGTGTGTGTATATACATGATACCAGCTCAAAGGCAGGCACATGTTGGCAGCAAAAAGCATGCCCACTGCAGCTACACCACCTGAAAGTTGCCTCTATATTGGGTGTGGATGTTGTGTGGACTCTTGTCATAACATAAGGGCATGTGCTATCCTATGACTCTTTTGCAGCAGTGAGTAGTTGTTCATTGTTGTGTGTTTAACCAATCATCTCTGAAACAGGAGTGTCGTCCAGAGCAGATAGTGACTGAGAGTAAATCCTGCGACCACAGTCACTACTGGAGCTGATTTAAAACCCTGACATTTGCTCTCGTGTCCTGAAGACCACGTGGCACTGGGAACTGCATTTCAGGAGCGAGACGGCGGTTTTCTCTGGAGCTACTGGTGGCTGTGGCCTTGGAGACAAGTAGGCCTGGGTCTGTGGGGCGTGTGGGCCTGGAAAAGTGACTTGACTAGCTAAGTTATAGAGAGACATCTGTAACAAGCACTGAGCACACAGAATAGACTGTTGGTTCACGTGACGTGCTTGCTGCCCACGCCTCGAGTATGTAGCTGCGACAAGTTCCAGTTCTTACGGGAGTCACTAGGGCGGCGACGCTCCCACACACCCACCAACCGTTCTTCGCCTCATCGGTCGCTAGCTGTTGTTTCTTGCGCGACGCCACACGCACCCACAGCACCGGGCGTTGGTGGTGGTGGTGGCGCTCACTGCAGGAATTCCGTGCACGTCGCGGTCGCGCCCGCTCTGTTCCGTCCTGCTGTTGCAACCCCGCTTCCCAGACATAGGGGCTGGGTCTAGCTCGTGTCCACTTGGCGTTGGCCCCATTCCCGCACCGCCCGCAAAAACAGTGCCGCTCTGCAGTGCGACTCTGACGCAAAACTGTGGGCTCTAGCACGCGTCTGTCGTTGCCTCTTTGTGTCGTTTGCACCACCCGCATTAGAGCTCGGCATGCTCTCATACTCGCTTCTCGCTTATCCCGCTGCACACGCCGCGGCGCCCCACCACACCGCGTCACCTGCACCGCGCGAGTCTCCGCCTCCTTGCCACCACAAACGCGCGCGGTCTCTTCGGCCGGTTGCTGCAGGCCGCCGACTTGCGGCACTCACCCCTGTTCGTACAACATCGTCTGTCACCTGGAGCTTTTACCTCGCACCCACGTTGGCTGCTCGTGTGTCGCTTCGGCTATAGCTGACCTTGGCATACATACCATCGGAGCTCACTACAGCGGCGTAGACGCTCAGGACACAAGAGCACACGCAAAACACACCAAGCAGAGACACCCAAAGAGTATACGCCGAACACTGAACAAGACGTGTTGCAAAGAAACAAACCCCGGTCCGCAGCTGCGCTCTTGGAGGCCGATCATTACTCGCGCGAACATCGCTAAAGGTATTGCTGCTTCGGTAGGAACGCTGCAAGAGTGGCGAGGACGGTCATTTACTAGACCGCGAGCCGTGCGCATATGCACTTTTATTTTGTCCGCGTACCCTAGTGCGCATGCGTAACTGACGCGGTTACTCTGGTATTGCATGCGGAAGATGCTTTCGTGGTAATGCCATGGCTGGGCAGTGTGCGGGCTGGGGTGTGATTGTTGTTCCTGTCTTATGAGGTCTTACTAAAAGAAACCAGGAATTTTCGGGTGTGGTTTAGGCATTACAGTCTACAACCTGCATAACACTGAGTGTTATTCCTCACTCAGGGATGAGAGTGCACTGTTTTTACCGACTTGATCACCACTAGCCCGAGTGATCCAAACTTCACAGAAATCTAGGTATGCAAAAACTTTTGAAATCAAGAATTTGTTAGTAATATTTTGCTCTCAGTCTAGAGCGAAGTGTGGTAGGACTCACTAAGACTTGTTATTCGCATGTTGAGCAGAGAGAACCTGTTTTCAGAGGTCAGTTTCGTCTTTCGCTGTATGTTTGCTCTTGGCAAGTCCACGCTGATTGTATGCGCAATTCTCCCATCGATACAGTAATACTACCAACTGTATGCGGGTATTAGGGTTCGTTGACAAGCAGGGGAGGTTGTTCTGCACAGACACAAAGGTGTTGCTAACCATCCTGAACTTAGCTATCATTTATAGGAAACGCCCCGGTTCTATAGGGACCCCATAAATTACATTCCTCATGATCATAGATGCACAGTCTATGCTCGAGGTGGAATTATTAAGATATATTTGTGTGTTTCCAGTGGTGCAAGCTGGTTGGGCTCTCTCCAACATACTGCTGTTGCTGTTTCTGTATGTTTGCGTGGAATGTCAAGCAACAAAACTCCCCAGGAGTTTGTCAGTTTGTGTACCTCCAAAAGTAGCTATCCCTTTATCGGACGCCCGGGGCCCTGTTCTAATATACCCAATACTACAGTCCTCGGAAGCATAGATGGCTACATTCATGCTCTCAGGTTGTTTACTTTCTTAACCCTCGGACGCGCATGCGCAGCGAGGCTTACAGTAGTTGTTGTCTGTGTCTGTCTGTGTGTGGGGTGTGTGTGTCGACGCTTATTCTGCACTACGGGCCTAACCCCAGCAATCATATACGCCGATACCGCGCATGCGTAGTGCGCCGAGGGGTTGCCACATTACAGTGCTGTTCATTCAGATATATTAGTTGTGTGTTTTTCCATGTGCACAGCTGTTGGGCTCTCCTCCGCATAATTCTGTTGCTCCCAGTCCAGTCACAGGCTACCTCTACAGGACCACTCCACAGATAGCCAGTGCTAGTGCCGAGCTCATCCAGACCGCAGCTAGCGTGTGAAGACCCACGCGAGACTGGATGATGCTTCTGTTGTCCTCGAGGGTGTCGGGACTATGGATCAAATCTGACATCTCTATCCACAGCACGTGCTTCATCCCTAACAGACGAAACTGGAGAAATCACGACTGCAGCCGCGTTAAAGCCATCTGAAACTGACCCTCCAGGAGGACCCAGTGAAAGGCTCCGGACTGCCTGACTGCGCTGAAGACTAGCAATGACTGCATTCTAGAGTCTCGGAGCAAATTCGACCTGTACTAGTGGAGGAGAGTATGGAGCCACACAACCAGACATTTCTTCAAGTGTTGCACGACGTGAGTGACGTGTGTGCGGGCGAGGTCCCGTGACTGCTTGCCAACTTAGAGTGTGTGTTCACTGCAGACGGACCTTTGCAGAGGTCAGTGGGTGTGTCTGCTCTGGAGCTATGAGGCCTAGCATGGGCGGTCGTCATGATCTTTTGTCTGTGTACAGACGTACGTTCTGTCATGTGTGTGTCACGTCTGCCCTATAAGGAGTAATAGTTATAGTTTTTGTGAAATGTGCAAGGTGATCACACTACAAGTGTACATAAGCCGGCTTGACATGTGCCGTAAGTGGTTCTCATGCAATTGTGATAAGGTGGTCATTGACGTAATGAACGTAAATTATCATTTCTCCCAGGGGAGGCTCTAACATAATACAGTTACATAGCGAAGCAGAGTGCATACGTAGCATGCTTTTGTTGAAGAATTCCCTTTCTGTATACATTTGGGTGAAACCAAATAAACCGAAAAATACGAAATGCTACCAGAAAGCACAGTTTTCTCACATTACCTCCAGGCTACATCCGTTCCACATGTCAACTGGGAGCTCCAGACACCATCCTAGAAGGTCAGTGTCTCCCTCAAGAGCCCCCTCATCCAGTAAGACCTGGGAGACTCTCCACTGCCACTGACACGGGAGAACGAGCGTACACACTGCCTCTCTCCAGCTACGGACCTCATGGACACTCTGTTCTCTAGGTAAAACCAAAACAGAATATAAGTAGTTTTGTTTTAACTACTTATAGTTTGATATATCCCATTTCCTTTTATGTTTTAGCATAATTATGTCATACTCCACCCAGAATTGACCTGAAGTTGTTTTGACTATATACTTTGTGGTCTGTAGGCAATGTATACTTCTCTTCCTGTCTGTTGTGGATATGTAAGTTAAACCATGTAACTCTCCTTTTACGTTCCAGAATTGGGAGGGTGTTCACTCCTGAAGCTGTGGGGCTGCTCAAAAGGAATTGAGGTGGAGGGCAGTAAAGCCACAGTGCACACGCTCTGCCACAATCTGAACCAATCATGAAGCCAGTGACAGGCTGTGGTGGAGGAGGATTTTGTGGAGAATAGCGTGGGTGCCCACTGCTTCAGGTAAAGAGTAGTGGCTTCATCTTAATGGTTAATATGTGGATATGCCCTGTTATGGTTTATGCTTTGCAGATGTTAGTAAGGTATGAAGGCTAATGGATCCCTTGGTTTACTCAAATTGGAAGTAGTAGCTAGTGTGCACCCAATAACACCCTATATTAAGGGTCAAGTTAAAATATATCTCTGTGCAGGGTATGGCGAGAATGTGCTGTGACTCTCGGAAGTCGGTGCGCCAGAGACCGGATAATTACTACTTCAGAGAGCTCTGCGGGCACACGACCTACAGAATCTCACCAGCGAGAATGGGAGTTTGCTTCACAGTTAGCAGCACATGTATACTCTCTTGTTTACACTCATGCATAGCACAGTACGCCTATAGTACTACGTTAGCTCTGATATAGTGTGTCAAACAAAACTAGGACATCATAACTCAATGCGCATGCTCTATAACTACGTGCTTTGTGTAGTAGGTATTCTCATTGTTGTCTGCCTCTCGAGAGTGACACCAAACGTTTTGACCTATTCAATCTTGAGAAACTAGTGTGAGCGCTTCAATCTTCTCTGCAAGGTGTGTTAGACAGCTGTACAAACTCTATCATGTTCCAAGAAGAAGCGTATACAAAGAGAGCCTGACATGCACTCTACCAAACATCAGCCTCCTTTGTTGGTATAGCCTTGATATGCATGTCTGTTTCGGCGGGTGTCTTCGCATTTGCTCTCCCTCTCGTCCCTGCCACACTTTCCTGACTATTGTTTGGGATTCGTGGACTTCATGGAAAAGTACCTGAGCCTGGTGGAGAACTCTGCCTTGCTGGTACTTCACTATCTCACCTGCTTTACACTTTATCTCCCTCTCCCTCTCTCTCTTCCCTTAAATTCCCTCTACTACTAGGACATTTTTCCCACCTCTAACAGTCTGAAGCTATCCGGAACGTATATGAAAAAGGAAACCCTGTCTGTGGTGATCGTCGACACACGAGTGCTAGAGGGTTCAGTCGACAGAGACACAGAACACACAAGGTCCGTGGGACGATGTGTGCGAGAAGCTATTTTTTTTTTTATTTGATTTTTTTTTTATTTTGATTTGATACATAAACCTCATATTGTCTGGTATTCATGTTAGTTTCTGTTTTGATAGCACCGCAAATGAGGCGTCTTTGAAATGATACAAACGACCTGGATAAGGAATAGAGCAGTTTTTGCCCGGCTTCATGAAAAAGCTATCAAAGCAGTCCCCCATCCCGCATCCCTATCTTCCCCATCTACACTCCCCACCACCAAGATCCTTCCGTATGAGAGCACACTACCTCAGCCTTCCGGCGATACAGCGCCAACTGGAAGGTTGGTTAGTGCAAAGAGGTTCCGGTTCGAAAGTGGATCATGTTATTGTTGAGAAGTGGATTGGTGGAGTTTAGTACATGGCGCTTAGGCCTAGCAGGCGCAGTGTAGTCTCCGGCTTGATAGTCCGGACATAACCATTGCATCTCCACCCATAATAGAAGCCCAGGGTGATGAGAAAGAAAATGTTCAATGTGAACATAACCTCGTGTGACTGCGTCATGCCAAATGAATGTGTGCGGTACTATAAGGTCGGTGCACTACAGAAGCCCAAGTGGAAGGTGAAGGTCAAATGTAATCACTCATGTCATATATCTCATGTAAAGCCACAAAAATTGTGTTGGCTTTCAATCGGTTTCTTTTTTTGACGGAGGTTTTCATGGAAAGTAAACTACGCAAATTCTCTAAGGTTTAGTTTGTAGAGAGTGTGTGGTATCACACACAGACAGGACATACTGAGTTCCACGTGTTACAGTGACATTCATAGCAAACTAGGATACATTGGCCTATGTCTTCCTCCAATACATCACTCTTTGGCCAGACATATTACTAGCGGTACTGCAATTGGCTAAAATCTTGGCCCTGGTTCTTACAGTTTTGTGATGATATTGTTTTCTGAGAAAATATATGTGGTTTCCTCCATTGTGTCTACAACAACTACAACAGTTGATGCGTTGAAGGATCCAGGGGGAGGTTTCAATTCAATTTGGTAGTTCCCGGTCACACTCCACCCCTTTACCCACCCTACACAACTACAGTGTAGCAGGTAGATAGGTGTATACAATTTGTTGTTTTTGTTTTTTTAAGTTTTTTCTGCATAACAGGCATACGGTAGGCTATATGAGACCTAACCCTTCATTTCTACCATTCTGCATTACATCTTTAGGAGGTTTTGCTCAGGTAGAATGTGATAGAGAATCCCTAGAATGGGCGATTGTGGCTTGACGAATGTATTCTAGTCAAGACTTATTAGCTGGACTCAGACTTAAAGGTATGCTACTATGATGGGAGGCTAATGTACTGGTGGGCAACTTCCTCCGAGGACAACCCCGAAACCAGGAAACCTTGCCAGGACAGTTTCTTGATTACCCTGAAATATGGACACCTCACAGTCGGTGTTGTCCAGATTGTACAACTTCTCCTCTTTATTTGTCCTCGCAGGGGGAAGACGAGGCACGCTTCCGCAGTCGCTTGTATAGGTCCAGAGATACCCAGGTACCCCACCTGACAGCTAAAGACTCACTCTCCAATTTGTACTACACAAAAAACTCCATTTATACCACATTGGGGTTAACTACCCTCCTATTGTGATCATAATTGCTGTGCGAAATAGTCCCTGTTTAGTGCTATATTTTCAAAGTGTCAACCTAAACGCTCAGTGAAGTAAATTGTGACCCCAGGGGGGGGTTGATGC